GGATTAAAATAAAGACAACAGTTGGACATAGTTTCGCATTGGTATTACTACTTCCATCTGCACACAGGCAGAATGAAGTTGTTTTAATGTAATCCATAGCTAAGAATTATTTTTCATAGCCATTTCTTTAACAACTGCAAACGTTTTTGTCCTCGCATTTGAGAATTTCTTAGCCATTTTGCTAAGGAGAAACATTTTTTGAAATAAAGCTGCAACATGATCTGATGCATTCAACGGCAAATGCTCCAATAAAAATGCAAAGAACAGGCATTCCGCATTAATAACTTGTCGCCCTTTGTTTCCACAGAAAAATTTAATTTTCCATTTTTTTCAATACAACTTACATTGTCCTCGCGTTTTTTACGTGCATATATATTTATGCACATAGGAACACTGTGCGATATAAAAAAAAATTAAAAGATAAATGATACACATTGCACTTTCTTGATGAAATAATAGAAGGGAAGTCATCTGTGTACAATTTTTGAAAAGTACATTTGAAAGTTTTCGCAGACAATGATTACAATTTCTTAAAACTACTTCTCGAAAGCATATGAAACTCACAGCGCCCATCCAAAGAATTGTATGTTCTTTAGTTCACCGGCAAGACAAACGAAATAACAACCTCAATCTTGCTTAATGCTCCTTGGATAATATATGGCAGATGACCCCAAGCGGCGACTGATATTCATTGGAGAACTGGAACATGACGTTTTTGGACACACATGCTCTCACACCCAAAGCAGAAGCGAGCCATAATGTCTTGCTGATGAAATCACTTTAGTTTTCATTTATATGTTATACAAAGAAAAAACAAGTGCTTTCAGATGCCCCAGATCACTTTTTTTTGGGAGGGTGCAAATAACGAAGCCAAGCTACATGAAATTCGTGATAAATTTTAAGAATAAGAGAAAGTCGAGGAAATATGTTGTAAATCAGGTTGGCAGGGTAGTGTTGGAAATAGGGAGTCTATCACCTAAATTGGGAGACAGTTGCCAATTCTGTAAAGTATAATAAGAGGAATTGGGAAAAATCAATACAGATCAAATATGCATAAAGTGAAAGTCTTGCATTAATCAAATCCCCATGCTCTTACATGGATATACCAGAACCTTGAATTTCTTCCAATATTTTGAAAAGAAATTTAATTTATACTCTTTTATATTAGCTATATATATGTGAAATATAAAATATGAAAGAAAATTATTAACAAGTTACTAACTTAATCGACAACAGCCCTTTTAATTCCTGATTTTGTCTCCAATCCTCTTCATACTGTGGTATTATTTCACCTGCAGTAATTCGCATTGCAAAAGCTCTTGTCCAATCACTATTTAAAACTGAAACACAGCAGCCAAGCTAATATACAATGCATTTACTTTTTTCCTCTGCTGTCACTTCACAAGCAGGTAATTTTTATCTATGGTATAAATGCGTAATTTTTTTAATATAATATTGTGGCGTGCAGATTTCACCAATTGTGTTGTGCCAATCAAAAAACAGTCTTAATAGATTACTATCCAGTGAGTAATTCTTTCCAAAGTTTGAGTCATCATCCCATCTAGACAAGTTTCAAGTTATCTTCTATCACCACTCCGGCTGTGATTGGGGTTAATCACAAGCAATTATCAAATTTCTACATTTTAAAGCTTCAAAGACTGAATATAACAGCCCATCTCATTTGCTCTGTAACACTTGGTACTCAATATTGGTAATTTACCAAGCAAACGTTAACTTATGCTATGGATCTCATGATAGGATAAAATTTTAGTTAGAAGATGCATACGACAGAATGTATATGTGGTTTTGATTCCTCCCCAGAGACAGTTTTTTTTTTTTTTTTTACTTTTAGTGATGGAAACATATGTTCTATGCAATGTTATAAGAACCAATAAAGTTTATCCATAAGAAAAAACTTATAATAAAATATAAATTCATTGAAAGTTTTAAAGACACTTCAACATGTTAATTAAAATAACAAATGATGCTAATAAATACACTGGTCATCAAAATTAAAGGATAATGACAGAGAAATAAAACATGATTGATATTTAAGGAAAACTTATTAACAGAAATTTGTACAAAAGCATTAGTTAACATAAAATACAATGTTTGACAGTTGATTATTCACAAAACGTTGAAATTTATACCAAATTTATGAAAATTTGAAAATAATGAAAAAATGAAGTCACTTCTTGTGAAACATTTTTTTCTTTAATATGGTGTATGACCACCTCAGACATATATACATACCTCACATCTTGATTTCATAGACTTTACCAAAGTGTTGATTAAATCTTGTAGAACTGTATGCCACTCTTTTAAAAGTGCACTTTTCAACTTCCAGGAGGGTCTGGGAAAGAATTTGGTCCCCTAAGACAGCCACACATGCTCAATCGGGTTCACGTTGGGTTAGTAAGGTGGTCAACCCATTTGAGTGATACCTTCTGTTTGAAAGTATTCTGACACCACATGTGCTCGATGAGCCAAGCATTGTCATCTATTAGCAAAAACTCTGGGACAACAGCCACCTTAAACCATCTAACTTGGGATTCCAATATCTCATCCTCCCCCATCTCTGAGCCGTTACAGAACCTACCTGAAAGATATGCAGCTTGGTGTGGCCATCTGTCATGATTCCTCCCCAAATCATTAGACCACAGTCATGGAACTGGGCTATTTCACAGACAGGGCAAGTTGCATGTTCCGTCCTCTCTCAAGCTTGTCAGTAAACAAAGTCGTGTCCAGTCATCTTGTCTTCTTTGAACATGACGATGGCACCAGTTTAAACATATCCCTGTAGATACAAACCACTGGTTTTCTTGCATACAGCCCAACCTTTGCATTCGGGCAGCAGTAGAACGGCTGATTTGTGTTCCTGTGGCAGCCTGAACGTTTAAAACAAAATCTCTTTTAGTTGCTTCATGGTTTCTTTGAGACAACAGCAACAGAAAAAGGTTTTCTGATGCGGTTGTTGCTCTTGGTATTCCTTTACCAGGATGCCTATCATCGATCCAGTGCTTTAAAAGAAGACGCTAAATATGACGCTTTGAGGCATACTCAAATCTTGGGTAACCTTGATTTGTGTTTGACCTCCCTCAATTCTACTAAATATTCACCACATTTGACTTCACTTAAATGATGACTTTAAGCCAACTACTGAATGCCGATCACACTCAGAAACCACATTACTCACACATTAACTCGCAAACTGAATTCCAACATGCATGCATTGCATAAACACTGCCAATCAGTGAGCTCTAACGTATGCACGGAAGTGCGATTTTGTATTCAATTGTATTTAATTAGCATAAATAATTACAGCATTAGACATTGGTTACAACATAAACTTAGTAAACATATTTTTTCTCATTTAATTTTGATGGCAAGTGTATTATAAAAAAACAATGCTGATAAATATTAAAAACAATGTATATATAGTTTCAATTATTTTTCCATTAAAGTAGACGAAAACATAAAATTAGTAACACAACAAGATACCAATTGATTTCGAGGACACATAGGTACAAGTCCCTCGTGTCAGGAGAAAGAGATCTGCAAGACTGAAAATCAGTTGGCATAATAATAATAGTCATATTTATTCTCCACAATAAAGGTAGTGGCTCCACAACAAAGGTATCAGCAAAATTATTAACGAAATTGAAAGTTAACAGAATTTTAAAGCGTTCAAAAGGAACTGCATCGGGCTTCAAGTCATTAACTAAACACGATTAAGTTTTTGTGAATATGAAAAGCTTCAAAAAAATCCAATTCACCAATTGAAGAAGCTTTTTGAAGACCCAATGTCAAAACTATTTTCCAATGATTAGTTATCAAAGACTTGCTAATTTGGAGATTTATGTTTTTTGATACAAAACTTTAACGCTCTTTTAGTTTAGCTGATATATCTGAAACCACTCTGACACAGTATGCTATAAATTCAGCAAGAATTTATAGCATACTGTGTCAAAAATGGGTCAGAAATGGAATCTAAGATTCAAACATAAGATTTGATAAATGAGAAAATGACTTGAAAACTGAACTTCTGGAGAATTTGCCCACTTATATAACTGAAAGATGAAATGAAAGCACAACAAGGTTATTAATATTATTTCTAACAGTAGAATGTCTTCTTTGACAGCAAGCTAAAATTTTTTTAAAGGCTTTATCAACAACTATGGAAGAAAATCCTCATCAATGGCAACTGATCTCAAATAATTCAGTTCATTAGCAAGCAAAGATTCTGCGACTTCTGCAATTCCGAGAAATTTTCAGCTTACTTACTATCAAAGAAGTCATTCTGCCATTATAAATAACATTAATAACTTTGCCCTGCTTCCATTTCATCATTCGTTCAGTTATAAAATTGCATGGATTCTCCAGAAGTTCTATTTTCAAGTCATTTTCTTGCCTATCAATAAAATCCATGGTTCAATTCTTAAAGATTCAATTTCTGACATTAATTCTTGGGAAATTTATAGCATATAATGTCAGTGTGGTTTGAGATATATCAGCGCCGTACTAAAACAAGGAAAGTGAATCTTATGCCTGAAAAGGCGAAATTAACTATCTTTGATAGCTAATCATTGTTGAAAATTTAATCATAATTTTGTCTGCAAAAATCCCTCAGAAAACTTTTTCAATTGGTTAATTGGATTTCCTTGAAGCTTTTCACATTCTCAAAGACTTATCTTGTTTAGTTAATGACTTTATATCCGATCCAGTCTTTCCTAACGCTTTTAAAATTATGTTAACTTAATCTTACAATTTTGTTAATATTTTTGCCTTCTCATTCACTTTACTGTGAACTATAAATATGACCATTCTGCTTTGCAGTCTTGCAGATTTCTTTGCTCCTAACATAGATGGACCTATGCCTGCCTGCGCTCGAAATCAATTGAGATCTTGGATGTTTCTCTTCTGTTTTCATATGAAAACACTTTCTTTTAATGCCTTTAAAAAGAATAAAAGCAACTTTAATTAAAACTAAATATTTTTACCATCATGCTGCATATCTGATGTCCAGAGAGTCAAATTATCTCGAAGTAATTGCATGATAAGCGTAGAGTCTTTATAACTCTCCTCACTAAGAGTGTCGAGTTCGGCAATGGCATCATCAAAAGCAGCCTTTGCCAAGCGGCACGCACGGTCGGGAGCATTCAGAATCTCAAAATAGAAAACTGAAAAATTCAAAGCGAGACCCAGCCTGGAATGAAAACACAAGTTTTTTAATACTTTAAAAACAATACTGAGAACTTTTTAAAATTTATATATTCATCTTTACATTAACTATTCAAATAGCAAAATTCAAAATTATGTAAATATAAATGCTTACATATGTAAACTACTATGGGATTACAATGTAGATGAGAACATAGAAGCAAAATATTTTAAAAAATTTCACTTTGAGACAAAATTTTTCATTTTACAGAAATGAAATTTCATTGTTTTTATAATTTAAATAAGACTAACTTCTAGGTTTAACTATTTTATTACACTAAATATTTGATAACTCATGCATACTTGTTAACAGAATTGTTCAAAACTAACTTTAGTGTTATTTCATACTTTTTTTAATTAAAAGTTATTAATCCTTTTATTGAATTTCATTCTGACATTAGGGAAGCAGTGTTTAATAATATTCAAATTCCTAGTTGACAACCATACCCTAATACTTTTTATAACATTGCTTTGAATCTCAATACATTTCAGAACTTTTACTACATAATGATCACTATAAGCTTTCATTTAGTTGCACTCATGGCATTTGTGCTATGTGCAAAACTTTATAATGTAACCATTTTAAAAATATTTCCTGATAAGCTACTAAGCTTAGTTGTGCAAATATTGTTTATGGATGATAACAGAATGCTGTGAAGTGACTTTTTCAAAATTTAGATTTTTTTTTTTTTTTTTTTTCAATTTAATGTTGAATTGCCTTCTTGCACATCTTTGTTCAAAAAATCTGAAAATTTATTTCCAATTATTTGATGCCTAATAGTTTAAAATTTCAACATCTAAAAAATGTATAAAGTTTACAACTCTTGCAGATTATAAAACAAACTCTTCATCTTTTAAAACAAGAATGATAAAAAATATTAAATGTGTGATTTTCTACATTAAAAATAAATATGCTGCATATGACCTAAATAAAGGAAATTTTTGGGTGTCATGTGATTTACTTAAATTATGACATCACACTATTTTTTTTGCTTCCGTATAAATTTCTCTAATATTGATTTTATTTACCTTCCTCCTCTTGCTAAGAAAGACTAACAAAGAAACTTATTATAAAAGTCTTCAACAACTTCATAAATAATATTTCCTTTTCCTCTTTATTACAGATAGATTTTGAGTTTACTAATGATTAACATTTAAAATGAAATCTATAATTTAACATCAATTTTTAATCAGCATTTCATTTTAGAAGCTGATTTTCTTCAATATTATATTCAGTGCTTTCTGATTACCTGCAAGATAGTTTTTATAAAGATCAAATATGTGAATTTTTTACTGCAAATAATACAAATTTGAACATAAAATTAGAAAAACTAAACTTTATCCTACGGGTTTAAATAACAAAAAATATTTTACATTAAAGAGTGATTATTGATAGTTGAAAAAAATTTGTGCAATTTAGTAATTTTGTAGATATTGCATAAGTCAGATTTAAAAAAAAAAGAAGTTTTAAAAAATAAGTTTTAACTTAGAATTCATAACATAGTTAACGAACCAAAAGGAGAAAAATAATTCATCACAGACGACAGATTCCCGAAGTGCGTTTCATGGTACTCTGGAGAGCTGTGCAATATTGCAAAGGCTTCATAATTTCTTCAATAATGAAATTACACCTGTTTTATTTATTTTTATCACTTGGTAATGATTAGTGATACTTTTACTTAAAATCTTAAAATAAATAAATAAAAAAGACACGACTCAAAAAAAAGTTTGGGAGCCACTGTCATGGATTTTTTAATTCTCCTTAAAAAATTCATCTACAGTTTTACATCATGAATAATAAAATCACAGATGCTTAAATAATTATTATATTGTACAGTCAAAAGTCCTTAATTCGGACACCCATAATCCGGATCTCAAAGCTACAAACTTTCTGCGCATGCGTCGCGTTCACACATGCGCACAGGCGTTTACGAGTGCGCGTAAGACCTTTACGGCTGCGAATATGTTTTTGCGCATGCGCGTTTAATGTGTAACAGGCGGTATAATCTAAGCAAAAATTATTTAATTCAGTTAATGTTGCAGATTGCGTTGTTCCTTAATCTTCGAATTGGATCCGGCTTATTATTTTTTGCGGACTGTTAGAGCAATTTCATAAAAGTAAGCTTGAACTTTCGATTATGCCAAATAGAATTTCCGATATATATTTACTAATATGTAATTTGTATCTACAAAGTGAAAGTATGTTTTGAAATCCGAAATCTGTTTATCAATTTCACGCACCGATTGGAAGTTGATCTGTCAGCACTATCCTTATCTTCAGGGCAGAAGTTTTTATTTTATTTGGCTTATAATTCCTTACCAAGTGTAGTATTTCATCTCTTCCTTACCAAGTGTAGTATTTCATCTCGATGTACTCTGTCTTTGATATGATTTAAATCAAGTTTCTGGTCATTATAATTCGCTTCCGATAGTGAAGAAAGTGACCCACAGGTTATTGAAAACAAAAACATTTCGATTGACAGAAGAAAGTGACCCACAGGTTATTGAAAACGAAAACATTTCGATTGACAAATTAGTCGGTATTTTCAACACAGCAATTATAGGACTTGAACAGCGGAACTTTGTAACTAAACAAGAAATTATGTCTGTTTAATAGAATTAAAGAGAAAGTATTATCACATGAAACGAAGCAACTTACATTGAAAGAAATGTTTAATAAAGTAAACAAATAAATATTAAGCTTTTTCTTTTTTGTAAATTTTTGATACCCTTTAGATCATAATTGTTCTTTATTTCATAAATTACGGTTTCATATTTTTAATTTTGTAATTTCTGCATGCCATCTTACCAGATTTAAACTGATGATCTATAATCCGGAAAAATCGATGATCCGGAATCGCCGAAGTCCCAACGAGTCCGAATTAACGACTTTTGACTGTATTGTCAAAAGTATAAGAAACTAGAATCTTTGCAAATTTATCAAAGACAGTTCTGTTTACATTTGATTAATATATAGCCTCAATATCAGAAGACTCTTTAACTTCAATTGAAACACGTATCACTGGAGCTATTATGCAAAAGCATAATGTTGCTGACACAATGAAGAAATGAGCTTGAAGGTATGCGACTTCAAAAGGTTCAGGACTTGGCAGTCTCACTAGGGAGAAAACTAAGAAAAAGTGAAAAAGGGGTCGTAACTAAACTGGGCAGGGAGTAAAATGCATCATAAAAAATGAAGAGAAGACTCTTAAGTGGTCCATCTACTGAGATCAAAAAGAACTAAATCAGTAATTTTACTAAGGGTGAGGGAAAATTAATTTTCCATCCAATTAAGAAGTTCAATCAAGCAAAGTACCAGTTGGAGTTTTCTACAGGTGACTTTTTTTTTTTGAACTGTTCAACAAATTTTAATAATCTGCTGACAATGTTTTTAATTTTGTCAGTGTTATCTTCTAACAAAAAGTTCAGGAGAGGCAACTGTTTTATCACTCAGAGAAGGAGTTTCCTTCTGTATGGAAACACCTTTAGATGACTTTTAAAGCAGCTCTGAATCTTTCTTATCTTCTATATGGTTTTTTTCAAATTTTAGGGTAAAATTCACATCCCATGAGGCCACGTGATTTTTTCCAAAATGGATACAGGTGAGTTTATCTTCTTTAGAAAGAGTACATGTGTATGTTAGATTATGTTAGATTATCTTTACTGCAGATTATACATCTTGCTAAATTATTACAGAACATCTGTGATTGCTGCAATATTTTCTTATAGAGACCCTAAAATTTAGGATCGTGCACTTCTCGTAAATACTACATCCAGTATTATCTCTCTTTAATGAAGCGAAGAGCCCTGATAGTTTCATCACAGAATCGTCATATTTTCTAGTGAATTGGGTAACCTTTAAAACAGGATATCCTGCTTCATAAAATTTCGCTTTAATTTCATCGGCACTAGAATTTTCAGTTAAACCTTTGATCGGAGTATCTTCCTTTGATCTAGAAGTGCTGAACTTTTTATAAAGATATCAAGAGGACAATCATCATTTAATGAACAGCCACAAGTAATGATATTTTTATCTCTGGAGTACCAATGAAATTATTAATACTATTTTTTTTTAGAATAAAGAGCAAATAATTGAACCCAGCCTCTGTCAGCTAGAGTCATTTGAAACTTCCATGCTATGGTCAGCTTTATGTGATGAATCTTCTAGACGGGGTTCTCAACCGGTGGTACGCAAAGTATTTTTAACTAGTAAATTCAAAAATTAAAACCCCAACATCCTGATTGAGTTTTTTCTTTAATACTCGTAAATTTATGTGATCTGAGCTTTGCTCAAGCGTAGTAGTACTAAAGGGTTTTCAGTTTTTGTTCAGATGGTACGTGTTAGTCAAAAGGTTGAAAACCGCTATGTGCAGGAACAGAATTCAGAGTTTCGAATTTATTCACCATAGACGTAGAAGTTCTCCTTCCTAAGGAGAATGCCATTTTTACTGTCTATTTTCTGGACTCGCAACAAGTTGGAGAAGGAGTCAATAGTTTTGCCAAATGAAGATGACAAGAACATTATGCTTTTTTTTTAACTTTTATGTTATTAAATTTTAACCAACTATATGGACCAAACTTTGCTATGTTATTAACCCCTTAACTGCCGCAGGCGTATATATATACGCCTTGCTCAGCCGATACGTTAACTGCCCCGGGCGTATATATACGTCCTTCCAAAATACTATCACCTTTGCGCTGCTACCCATAAAATTATTCGCAAAGCTTTGGAATGCAACACCACAATGTATGTATATATGACAAAGTATGCGAAGGAGGATACGATTTCTGAGAAATTGGTGAGAGGGATGTGTCTAAAGCTGTGAAAGTAATGACTGCGCAGTATTGGCTGGTGTTGTTTAAGTAAAACATATTTTTTTTTATTCTCTGTCCTCTGTGTTGTCTACATTTAAAAAATACATAATAAAATCATTAACTGATAAAATGTTACACATATAATTAAATTTTTAAAAGAACAAAAAATGTAACCATTCTTTCCATGGAGAGAAGGGAACTATTTCCAGAACACACATAAAATACTAGCTCACGTAATCAATAAAATTCATTTGTGAACACTTGAGACCTTACAAAAATAGTTATAAAATTGCACAACAATACTTTTATCATTCTTGGTTTAAAAAAGGCTGAAGAACTGTTGTATACTTGTTATAAAATGAAAATCTAAGTCTTTTGCACAGCTACAGATGTTCCAATATCAAAACTTTATAATACTAGAAGTATGACAGGTGCAAATTTAATTGACTTTGAAAAATCACTGAAGTCAGTTAATTAAGTTATAAACCTACATACTTTATTGGGATGATTATTTTCTGTTATACACCACAGTGCAAAAACAAATTCTGCAATGGACTGATCATCTAGCACTAAAGCATACACAAACATTTTTTAAAAAGCACATTAAAATGCCTACATTATATTATGGAAAAATTCAGTTGCACACAATTCTACGCACTGAATTATACAGCATTTGAGCCCTTTATGCCTGTAGTATGCAATAACACAAACAATCACTTTTGTTATTACACACTGCATGTAAAAAAACAGTAGATAATGTAAGAAAGGCACTTGACATGTTGAAAAATAATATACCTAATTGGATGTGTGGGTGGAAGTTCTGTCATGGCAATATCGCTTGCAGCCTTGTAAGCAACTAAACTATTTTCAGCAGCCTCTTTTCGGTCATTACCCGTAGCAAATTCAGCCAAATATCGGTGATAGTCCCCTTTCCTAAAAAGAAAAAATATTTCATTTTTACATTCAACATTTTTACCTCATCAAAATATAAATGCTAATAACAAAGAAAACTAATGACCGATTTTTATTCAAAATGTTTTCATCTTAACAAACAAAAGAAAGCATAATTTATCTGTAAATTTTGAGACTTAGTTTAAATTACGGAATTAAAGAAACTCATGCTACGTTTAAAAATTTTAATATACTTAAACATGCTTTTTGTCAATATAGAACATCAAACAATATAATACTGTAACTCAATTAAGGTCAGCACTAAAGGTGAATAATGAAAATAATAATTATTAACGAGTCCCAAAATATGGTTAGAGAAAAATAATAAAATTGATGATTTCATAAAATAAATGCATTTTAAATGTACATTTAACTACATCTGGGACGATTTTTAAATGTTTTACCCATTCTGCAATCACCTCACTTAGGTTCACCTCTATTTTTATTTTCCTCATTGTTATACTGGTCATTTTACAAGACTCTTAAGTTTCAAATAATGGTGTAAAATAATATTAATTATTTAATGCATTTATGAGCTTTATACATGTGCATCTTAAATGTTATATTTTTGAAAAATCTGATTAATCTATACGTTTATTTATAAAAATTTATTCTTACCAGATTAAAAATCTTAATCCACCCTATGGATTTCACAAAATTTAAAATCTATTCCAGTATATTATACACACATTTTACTTTAAGTTTCAAACGTAAATTCGCTGAATATTTTTTTTTAGTTTTTTCTAAAATACACTTACACAATACAACAAAATTGTGTAAATGCTCTTGCAAACAATCTAATTTGATAAACCTGAAATTAAGGAAATGAAATGGCCCAGTAATCCTTGGAATCGGAACTGATGCTGACTGTTTTCCCATAGCGTAATGTTATTCAATGACTGATTCGTTAAGTACTGTTAATCACAGAAGTCTGAGATAAAAGAAAATTATTAATTGACCTTACAGTTTTTCTTAGCAGGGGAATAACTCTAGAGAAATTAGTGTCATAAAACTCAAATGTAAAATCATTTTTAAATATAACCTAGTTAAAAAATGAATATTCCATAAATTCAAGTAACAGAATTCACTATGGTGTAGACAAAGCAATTGCTTTTCTAAATTCCAGGCATTATTTCTTCAATTTCAGCATACTATTGATATTTAATCTCAAAACATATAAAGGCTTCAGAACAAGGCTAATATTTACATTATTCATGTGAAGCCATAAAAATTTCATATATTGAGCCTATTCAGTCAACCTGTATGCAAAGAATGACTCAGCATTAAACAACCCAACCAATTGGGGGTCTGCACTGAAAATATCATTTATTGTTAGTTGAAAAGAATTTACAAAACATTAAATTTGTTCCAAAACCAAGCTTCTGAGGATAACAAAATTTCCAAATTATTTTGATGGAAAAGGAAATGAATGGATACATGAATAGGTCTCAATTTAAAAGGTTCTCAAAGAATGACCTCTACACAATCAGAGTTAACAAATTATGCTGAGACTCCTACAATTAATACTCATTACATTGTCATATGTAAGAATAATCACTTTAGTTTGAGTGAAAGAGGTAAAACAACCTTTGAAAAAAAGAAAAAGCACCAATAATAATTTTTAAAAAAATCAAACGGTAGGTTTTTTACTTATCTAAATTAAGATGAATAATGTCACACAAGCTAAATATCAGAATAAAAAATATTTTAAAAGATATCTAAAACATAATCACCTATACATGCAATGAAATTATATTCACAAATTCTAAGGCATGAAAATGAAAACCCAGGTTTTATATATATATGTTATAATATCCAAAGAGAATAATGAAGTATAAAACTTTGAATCATCACCATATAAGATATATACACAAAAATTGATGGATGGAGAGGATAATGCTAAAAAAATTCTGATATTGTGTATCAACAAATTTCAGAACTTTCTGCCTTTCATTTTAATGAGAGCAAAAATTTAAAAATTATCTGCAGTTTTAAAAATCAAGGCATCAAATGACCTAAAAACTGCAAGTAAAAAATTGTTCAAATCACACCCAAAAACAAGACTGATATTGCTATGTTTTAAAAAAAATTAGGATTACCTAAAAATATTTAAACTAGATGACATTTTATGCAGAATCAACCAGAGAGTTTTTTAAACACAGTATAAATTATAAATTATTTTTAGAATATTATTGCAAAACATATATTTTCCCTTCCTAGATATTTTTAAGATTGATTTGTGACATCAAGATATATTCCTGATTAAATTTTATGATCTTATACTACATTACAGATTTATAACTTATTAACTATAATATCTAGAAGTATTAATTTAAGCTCCTTTAAATGGTACTTTTTCATTTTGCCAGCGCAAATGATAAAAGTCGCCAAAAATGGTACAACCGATGCCAAATGGAATATCCTCGCTGGTAACCTTTTACGCCTCATTTTCAAAACAAGTCAAAGCCATTTCATCAGATTGTTTCTTTTAATACTGGCGTACAATTACGTAGAATTTCTACCAGATAGTTCAACTTTATGCCCTAAGGCCATTCGTGGTAATTAGGATTAAGTCAACTAGGATGAAATCATACCGCTCACCCTTTACATATACTTCTATATTTTCACAGCTGAAAATATAGAAAAGGCAAAGTCAAGGGTTAAATTCATCAATTCTAATGAGAATGTACTAGTGAAATAAAGCACCGCGATTTTACATAATTTCTGAGTAAGCTATTCGTACAAACTGAAATAATTCTTGCATTTAAACTTCTATTCCAAATAAATAGAATTATATTTTTGTAGCGTAGTTTATGTGAGATGAGATCACTTGGGGTCATGTGATATGAAACGGCAAATCAGGAGGTTGTACCATGAAAGAATAGCAAATTTTTAAATTAATGTCTTTTTTACAAATTTACGAAATTTAAACAATATTTAAAATGTTTATGCCTTCAAAATAAAAATTTCTTAGAACTAACATTTGTTAAAATTTTTTATGGGTATACTGTGTGTTGTCACCAATAAAGTCTGCTTGGCGAGAATTGCACTGGCGAAACAGAAAAGTACCCTTTAAATATATTTTGCAATTAGGTGTTAAAACCACCTTGAAAGAAATTTCTAGCATAATTTTACTACTCATTCTCTAAAAACACACACACACAAAAAGAGAGAGATAAAGAAAGAGATCACAAAATGTCATATTTCCTAAACTTACATTTTATAATAAAATACTTTAGATTCTCCAGAAGAAGCAGTTGGTATAAGATGCTTATCAAGAACATCCAGGATATCTTGACAAATTTCCCGTAATTCTGTTTCCACCTAAAATTAAAAATATCTAGTTTAGTAACAGGTTAGAATGCTTAACAAAAATTAGCCAAATTATCAAGATTCGATTATTTTAAAGATTGTCCAGAAATAATTCATTATTTTATATATGAATAATTAAAAAATTACCAACAGAGTATAAAAACTTTTATACTCTTCTGTTATCAGGTCCTGATTCAGAAATGTATGTGCTGATATGTGTGCGTATATACATATGTACATGTACACATGCATTTCTAAATCCAATCCCTATAACAGAAGAGTACTGAAATTTTCTTAAGTTAATTGAATATAGTAAACTCTGTACAAGACAATCATACACAGTCACAGATTATTTTGGTCTTCCATGGAAATGTCGCCTTACAAAGGTATGTTTACCACATCACAAAAATGCTGTGACAATACAGATTCTACCTCCTTACAAAGGTATGTTTACCACATCACAAAAATGCCGTAACAATACAGATTCTACCTAACAGAATTCCGTAAGGAATTTTACAATGCACAAAACATTTTCTTTCAAATGTATTTATTACAAACTGTCAAAATATTTTTCTTCAACTCTCAAATATCTAATGAAATGCCTTTCTAGATCTGTTTAGATGTGAAATGGAAGTTTGCATTTTTTAGCAGAAAAATAATTAGAATATTAGAATTATAACGTGAAAGCATCAGAGAAAACTTTGAAGAAAAACTATCTCAGCCTCATAATCCACAACTTAAATAACATAATGGATAATCTAAAAAGTTCTGTGGTTTTGGGATAGTAAATACAAATGAAGTAGTTCAAAAGAAAATTTCATTGAATTACATAAGCACATTTGCCTTCTATGACTTTTTGTCATCTCTCCAGCAGCTAGAAAATTCCTTTCTTGAAAGGGAGGAACATTAGATTTATTTAGAAAGAAGTTATTTAGGTGCTGTTAAACAATCTACAAAGGGAATGAATGAGTTCCAGGTCATTCAGAGAATTTTGAAGTATCCTAAAAATACGAAAATCCAAAGAGGCAAAGTTTGTGAATATGGCAGATGACACAAAACACCCAAGCCATAGTCAAAAAGTCTGTCCGACATTCATGAAATGTGAAGTCTTGATGGAAATTATTCAGTTCTGGGTGCTTTGGTTTGATTTCTGCTTCTGAAACTGCCATCTGGGAATAATATTTTTTGTAATTTGTCTGATTTATTGACAACAATTCATAGTATGCTGTTCTTTTTAGTCCCACCATACATAAAGCATTACTTTTTTGGGATGCAGCTCCTCTCTCGATGTTACTAAAGGAGGTTCTGGCTTAGCTCACGATCTTTGCCTTCAAACATTATTGTATAGTATGCATGTCTCACATCTACCAATAAGCCATTTCAATATTTCTTTACATGTTATATGCAGAAATTACAAAGCATATTCTGCTTTAACCCGGCAGAAGGCGCGCACCCAACACTGATGTTGGAGATCGCATGGGGTGACAGCGTCACCCCAATCAGTTTCATTAGGAAAATGTGTTATATATTTTATAGAAATCGTTTGATTATAAACAATAATTGCAATATTTCATTTAGAAACTATACTTCTTTACTTAAAAAACTTATTTTAATATTTAAGAAAAAAATCCATTCAAAATAAGTATATACCTAATCAGGAGTCAGAAGCTAACATACATTTCTGGCAAACATAGGAAGAATGAATTTTACATAAAAATTTATCACATATTTTGCAAGAAATTGTAGTTTTATTCTCTTTGGATCTTGGACACATAGCACTTTGGCCTTTGTCGAGTTTTGGTTTCTTTGATGGGCGTTCTTCTGATACACTAGAAGTCGCATTATCGATGCTTTCTCGAACCACTTTAGGAAACATTGACATATTTTTTGTTAATCTCTATGTAAGGCGCTGTATAAGAGATATAGCCAAATTTTTTAGGAATTTTCTACTTATTTCCATATTGTAAGGGAGGGGTCTTTGTTGGGAATAAAGCAACTCGGGTTATTTATTGCAGTGACGTTCAAACACAGTAAAAGATGACATCGGCCATCTGGAGGTTTTTCGAGACTGTCGAATATAACAATAACATTTCATCAACTTTATCTACACCACTTTTTGTTGCATTATGAAAGTAAATTATTTCTGGTTTCTTCGTATCATCACTTTTATCAATGGCATCATCGCAATGCATTGTAGATAACAAAACTACACATTTTGATTTTTTAGGCACATACGATACTATTGTCGCGTTCTTTTAGAACCCAAATATAGATAAATAATCGTTCCTAGTTTTTGTTTGGACGAACTTGGTGGGAATTTCAGCCTTGTTTCTGTTCAGGGTTCCTACAATAGTTAACTTCTTTGACAAAAGTTCTTTTGCTAGAGAATAACTCGTATACCAATTATCCATTGTTATATTTCTGCCCAAACAAAGGGATGCACAGGCGTTTTGTAATTTCAAATGAAGAATTTTCAAATCTAAAGGGACCTTCCGACTGTTGTCCCTGCGTATATCTTCCATGTTATAGCTGCAGAAAGTTCTTGAATCTACTAAGGCAAATATTTTGATTCCATACTTCGATGGGTTGCTGGGTATATATTGGGACGAAAGGAACACCGCCCTCGAAATTTCTCTAATTTTTCTTTGATAGTAATTTACCAATAAGGCATATCTTTTGGCAATTTTCATTGAAATCGGTAAAAAATTCTCTCGCAGCCGCCAGTTTGTCCAATTTTTCCTGAGCTTCACGATTGGTCACATTGTCTAACCGTAGACACCTGAGAAGAGATTTAAATCTTTTATATGGCATTGTGTTCCGTAAAATTGCAATGCCTATTTCAATTTTCAGTAGCCCACAAATCTTGCGTATTTTTGTGACGATTTATGCAAGCCGTACAGATGTCAAAGCCCAAAAAGTGCTCTAATTTCCATATCATTTGTCGTTTTGGCATCCCGATTTCTGGTGTAATTTACTGATTTTCTTCATATAAATATTTGTACACTCTAAAATGGATTGTATCATTTTAGCATTGAAAAAAACAATTCCTCAACTTTCTAGAAGCTCTCCGTTATATTGCGTGCAGTTCCTGTTTTAATCCTGCTAAATGAGTTATTATAATTTGAGAAGACCTTTTCACTTTTTGATTTGGTTTTCCATTCCGCCAAACTCTTATTTTGGCTAATAAAAATACTTTTTACTAAATCGAGGATTTCCGTCGTCATTCATCATTCTGCTCAAATTCTACTTTCGCTGTTGTGAGAAATGTATATTTCTTTATCAGATTCAATTTTTACTATCTTGATCAATTTCTTCCTTCAGAAGACTCAAACTTCATCTAATACAGTTCTCAAACGTTCCATCCTCTTTTTCATGTTCGGTTAAATTTACGTTTTGTAAGCCATTATCTATCAAATAATCCAACAGAACCACAACGGCAACACTCGAGATCACGAAGCTAAACTTCTACTAATGAAAAATTTCGAAGCAGTAATGGTCGCACGGGGTGACTCAGTCATCCCATTCCCTCATGGATTCCAAGAAACGATTGCTTCTCTCACAGAAAAGAAAAACAAGCAAAAATAACAATACACATTACATTCCAAGGGGAGTGTCAAACAGGAGGATACTAAAAGGATGATTCATTAAAATGAAATATTTCCGGTTAGGATTATTGATTTTTGACGCATGGTGTGACTCTGTGCCCCGCGCGGCTTCTCCCGGGTTAATTGAATACTCATGTATTATAGCAGTTAACATACTCAGTCTTCATGATAATTCCTGAACTACATAACATGGATTTTCAGAGGTAGTTTCTTTTAATAGTTTACAGAGGATGGTCATTCAGAGTGAGTATCAACATTTACAATGAAATTTCTATGCTTAATCTTCTCAAAACAATCCAGCTGTGCCATCAGAAATGGCACTCTGCCCATACAGCCGACTAGCACTTCATTAAACCGCAACACATGCAAAAACTATGCAATGCAAACAAAAAGGATCGGATATAAACATCCGCTTCAATCGATATTATTCCTTATCAGTAGTATAAAAACACACTTTTTGATTTGAAAATCTGCTAAATTTCTGGATGTCCGAATACAAATCTTTCATATTAAAAAATTATTATAATCAACATTACTCTTGATTGTAATTCTGAAATCAGAAGAGTATTTATCTTAAATGGTTAACTTTTTTTTTTTTTTTAAAAAGATATATAAATGCATTTGCCTTTTTTTGTTTGTTGTTGTCTAAAGCAATAATGAGGAGCTTCAAAAACTTCAATGCACGCTTTAAACTCTTTAAAAATATGTTCTCTGCTATTTGAAAATAAACCACCTTTGACATTAGAAATTTATTCACTTTTTATGTCATGGATATCTAATATTTTATCCAGAATTTTTTTTTTTTTGGGGGGGGAGGAGCTGGAAAAAGGCTAATTTGACTTTTTTCTTAGTTGCTTTTCCAAAAGGGACTTTTTTAATTTTAGAGCAAAATGAATACATAAAACTAAAATGATGTGACAATTATTCACTAAGAATGCTTTAATCTGTTTTGTTTTTAGTAAGCAATTCTCAAATTAAAAAGTTAAATATCAATATATATGTTTATTCACCAAAAGATATTTCATAAAGACAAAAGTAACTTGTTTTATAAACATTTTAATGACAGTACAGATGAAAATGAAAAGCTTAAATAGATTATTAATGAAGCTTGAAAACAAAGCTTTATAAAGATAAGAACCCTGATTGCTTATTATGCAATCATACCTTGAACAGTGCCGGATTTTACGTATAAGATACACAAACTATAGCTTAGGGACCCCAAAAATTAAAATATATTATAACAGTCTAATAACAGGCCCCATGTCTCAAATAGATTAGGGCCTTATCATGTTTAAATCTGGCTCTGTACTTGAACCATGTTTAAAATCTGCATCAACTGGTTAAACTTGTTAAGGAAATACTTTTCGTATCAAAACTTATATTCTATTACTCTGCCAGATAATGCATTAAGACAAATTTTCAGAACAGATAGCTAAATCTTTTACTGAATATCTAACACTTATTACAACAGTTCATCAGCTATGACATACTTCAAAATCTGAAATCACAATTTAAGAGATCTGTTGGAATAGGTCTCATTTCTCATAGATTACAATAGAAATTAAAACTAGTATATTACCAATGATTTTGCACATTGTATAAAAAACACTGTGAAACTTAGAACAAAAACAAATTACTTTTACTACACTAAACCCATTCACTCCTCTTTTTATTATTGTTACTATTACTGTATGGACACATATGTGAAAAACTCGATGAGACGACTAAATTCTCTTTTTGTGAAAAATCCAAATATAAATCTAAAATTGTATGTCATACCTCAATTATTAATTTAGAATCTCAGAGTTATGATGCTTTCTCTAAAATGAAAAACAAAAGAAAATCTCAAAGTTATCTTCAAAATTAAAAACAAAAGAAAATCTAATGAACTAGTCAATGCGCATTCAGTGTCATTAGTTGTATAACTGAATGCTTGTATAGATTTATTTTTATACAACCTATTATCGGGCAATGAAATAGAGAACCAGCTGCAAACTAAAAAATTAAAATGTCTAAAACTGATAAGGACAGACAGTTAACTGACCAGTTATATTCATAATGTTTTAATATATATGGTTATTTGTAAATATGATGCAAAAAATATTTTATATCTTTTTCTTGCTTTTTAAAGCTATTTTTCCAGAATACTTTCAATAACTCAAGTTTTGCTGCCTATGGGTTGGAATTAACAAGAGTCTACTGCATGTTATTTTTAAGAATGCTATATTTTACCTGTAACCGATACTGCCGTATCATCTCAAGCTTGCTTTCAGCACCTTTATTTTCTTCTTTCTGTTCAATGCTGCTTATGATTCTCCAAGATGCCCTTCTTGCTCCAATAACATTTTTATAAGCCACAGATAATAAATTCCTTTCTTCTACTGTTAATTCCACATCTAATGAGGCTACCTTCTTCATAGCTTCCACCATTTCTAAATAAATTTAAAATATTCAGCATTTTATTCATTAGCAATTTTTTTTTACTAAAAAGAGTTCTTTTTTACTTAAAACAAAGTACAGTACAAAGTCTGTAATCCGGACTCGTTGGGACTTCGTCGATTCCGGATTATAGATCATCAATTTAAATCTGGTAAGATGGGCATGCAGAAATTATACAATTAAAAATATGAAATCATAATTTATGAAATAAAGAACAATTATAATCTAAAGGGTATCAAAATTTACAAAAAAGCTTAATATTCATTTGTTTACTTTATTAAACATTTCTTTCAATGTAAGTTGTTTAAGATGCTTCCACAAAAAGTTCCTTTTTCTTATGTCATATACAGTGGACTTTCCAATGCCGTACTTCTCGCATAATTTTGAGATGGATAGGTCTTTATCCATTTTTTGCAGCAATTCCACTTTTTGTTTAATAGACATTGAAACATGCTTTCGCTTTGTAGATCTTTTAGCAGCTCCAGAATTGGAAACTCTTTTTGACATAATCGAAAGTTCAAACTTAATTTTTATAAAATTGTTCTAACAGTCTGCAAAAAATAATAAGCCAGATCCAATTAGAAGATTAAGGAACAGTGCAATCTACAACATTAACTGATAGATTTATAATAATAGATAATTTTAGCCTAGCTTATACCATCTGTTACACATTAAACGCGCATGCGTAAATGCATTATGCGCTTACGCATGCACATAATTTGTAGCTTTGAGGTCTGGATTATAGATCATTCTGGATTACAGACTTTGTACTGTAATTAAATAGAAGGTCAATTAATTACATAGATCACAATTTTTAATCATTTCAAAAGCAGATTTTTTTCCATCACCAATTTTCTCCCACATTAAAAGGAAAAAAATCAAAACAGAAACTTTGGTTTAACTAAATACTTGCAGTCCTTAATAATATTGTGTACAATATATAAATTTTCCAAGACACATCCAAACTACAGAAAAATAATACAAGTAAATCCCTGCAGAGCTATGCTACATCTGGCAAATATTTAATGACATTGATATAGCACCATAGATGGTAATCTCAGAGTCAATATATTATTAATTTAGTGAGTGTATAAATCAGGGGTAGCCACCCACCACTCTTGGAGACAACTGGCATGGCTCTTATGCAAATAAAATATGTATGAAATATGATAAACTACTACTCAAAAGATAATTTCATGTTTTTTTTTTTTTTTTACAGTGTTATTAGCACATTTAAACAGATCAACATACAAATGAAATTATTTTATTTCACTTCTTACTATTTAAGAAACAAAATAGAAATACTGAACTGATTCTATCAAACATATTTGTAATAAAAATCCTTATTTAAAGTTATATTTGCTTCTGGATGCTTTACAGCACTGGTTATCAACGGAGGCGGTACCTCTTCAGGGGGCAGTGGAAGAATGCTAAGGGTTGATGAACTTGTTTTGGCCCTGGAACTTAATTTAAAACCTGCCCAAAAAACATTTTAAATCGATTATCTGATTTACACCATTTGTACCAGCAATAAAATGAACTTGCACGATGGCTCTTCTCGTGCAATTTTAAGAATGGTGAGACGAAACTGCAGAAAATTCATCCTGACAAATAAAATAAAGATTTATCCCGAACATCAGAGAGTAGTTTCTGAAGGCACTGTCTGCTTCAGAGTTATTAACAACCTCATAAAAAATGCAACGGTTTGATAGCCTCTAATAATATATCAAAATTAATTGCTAAATAGGAAAAAGTTCATACCAAGGGCGAAGAGTTGATACTGCGGCTGTCAAGGAAATTTTAGAAATACTTTTTACCCCATTTAGCCATATCCAATATTATAAAAATATCCTATTGAGCAATGACACAGTGTGACGACAAATTGATGGCATGGCGGAAGATGTTGAAGCTTCGTTGTGCAAACTTTCAATACTTACCGAATCAGGTTGATGAATCAACCTTGCAAGATGCTAATAAGGCTTTACTGTTAGCGTACGTATGGTTTGTGAAGGGAAAAAAAATTATTCAAGAGATGCTTTTTGCAAAAAAATTTGACTGCAAATACTAAAGGTGAATCTATTTTTAATACTGTCAAAGATTATTTTCATGAGAAAAATATTCCTGTTGAGAACATTACATCTGTTGCCACCGATGGAGATCCTGCAACATTGGGTCATAATCATGGGATCATCACCCTTTTGAAGAAAGAAGTACCAAGTATTTTAACTGTTCACTGCGCAATTCATAGGTGGGAATAATAAAAACTCAATGACTGTTTGCCTCAGTCATTACAATATGCGATCTCTACTGTGAATAAAATTTGCATTAATGCTCTCAACGATCAATTATTCAGGCAGCCATGTAAAGGCAATGATGCTACACACCTAGGTTTCCATTCCAAAGGTGCCTGCCTCAACAGGTTCTGGAATCATTTCAACTCTGCACTTGAGTTCATCGAAGAGAAAAATGTAGCTCTGAAATACAAATTGCTACAATTTAAGATTAATGTTGCTTACATGATCAATTTATTCGCAAAATTCATTGAAATTAAATTGCAGCTACAAGACGAAGAGCTTAATTTGATCACAACAAAATCTGTTATTTCTGTCTTCATAAAAAAACTCACTTTTTGGAAGCAGAATTTTGGTCGCAATGAATTCATCCAGTTTCCAATCATCTGATCTACATAAGAGCAAAGAATCCCGTTCGATGAAATACATTTTACGGTGAACACCTTTAGTATTTGCACAAAGCCTTTTCCGAGTGGTTTGAGGATATTATTTTGTCCCGACCCCAAGTGGGTCTTGAACCCTTTTATGAATACTGAGATAGCAGGATGTTCAGCTTCAAGAGGAAATGGTTGAATTGTCAACTAATGAAACTTTGAAAGCAGCTTACAGAATAAGATAATCTTGCAGAATTTTGACTTCAAAGTAACATCAGTCACCTCTATCCAGGTTCGTGGACTAACGTCAAAAAATTTTTAATTGCTTTCCCTTCCTCCTACCTTGTCAAGCGAGGAATCAGGGCTGTGCCTGATCCAATTACAAAAAAGAGAAGTCGACTCCAAATCATGGGAGGGGACTTTCGCGTTCACTTTTCTAAAAATATTTAACCGAACTTTCAGAAACTGGCTCTGAACCATTAAGCACACATATCTCACTAATCATACTTTATTGTTTCATTAATATTACTCTTTTGATGCTTTTTTAAATTATGAATAAAGAATTTCTAAACATAAAACATCGCTTAAGAATTTTTTTTTATATTAGTCATTTCAATTTTAACAAAAGGAATGCAATAGCTTTCCAAGCAAAACTATGAAGTTAAATCAAAAAAATTTGGTGTGCAAGTTTACCAAAAAAAAATAACTTAATTTTTGCTTTTTATAATTCAGGAATTCCTCCTTTCCCATACCTAAATTACAGGATTTTCACAAAGGGGGGGGGGGTGTTTCACAAAGGGGTGAAAAATTTTTCACTTTTTATGGGAGCTGCAGCTTTGAAAAGGTTCAGAATCACTGCTTTCCAGGAAGGGCCTCTGAATGTCTGAATTATCAGCAGTTGTAGAAATTAAACTGAAGCAGTTAAAAGAACAGAAAATGTACAGAACGCAGCAGAAACATTTAGTATCGTACAGAATTTATCTACAAAATTTGAGGATAACAGATATACAACTTGCTTGTCGAGAAACAAGCATGCAGGGTGTTATGGGATAATTCTGAGGTAGCAGAACACGATTTGAGTTGCAGAGGCACAGATTTTATTCAGTTTTACAAGCAAGCTGAGATAGCAGGATGTTCAGCTTCAAGAGGAAATGGTTGAATTGTCAACTAATGAAACTTTGAAAGCAGCTTACAGAATAAGATCATCTTGCAGAATTTTGGCTCCAAAGTAACATCAGTCACCTCTAGCCAGGTTCGTGGACTAACGTCAAAAAATTTTTAATTGCTTTCCCTTCCTTCTACCTTTGTGATAGATAAACATTTACAAAATAGTATCACGGAAGAATTGGATTATTCGAAAACTGAAAACGAGCATTTTTCATTGCAATCAAGCTGTAATTACAGGGAAAAAAAAAAAAAAAAAAACCACCACAAAACTCTATGTTGTCTTTAATAGACCATGACATGCTGAAGGCAAACTTTTATTGAATGATTGTTTAGAATCAATTTTTTTTTTTTTTTTTTTTTTTCATTTGAAAGTTTCACTACTTAGAAAATGATATAAATATGGACTTGTGGTTTTCAGAAAATCTAGGTACAGCTTTCAAATTTTCTTCAATTACATTACATTATTCTTACTGACATGAAGTCTGATCAACTCTAATACATACGATCAAATTCTATATTCCATTTAAAAAACTGAAAACCAGCTAAGGTATGAAACAATACATGAAAATCAACCTTAACAGCAAATTAAGATTGAATGCTTTCTTGGAAAAAGAAAGGATAAATTTCAGTTTTGAATTAAGTTAGTACAAGCCAGAAAAAATTCAACAAATTGCAATAACCTTACACATTCTTTTTGAAAATGTCATATATTATCCATAAACTATATTAAATTGATGATGATATCTGCATTTATTCTTTAGTCCAGAATTGTAAGGCATGATGCCTTTAATATATATTACAGCCAATGCTCTTGAGTCGTATAAAAATTAGTGGATTCAGTTTTTTAGTGATATGTTCTTACGAGATTACCCTCCCCCCCATTTGAACTGGGCTGCTTTCACAGACGCACAAAAACTACAGCTAAAAATTTTTTTAATGGTGACAAAGGATAACAGGCCTAACATATAATAAAGCAATATCAGTTTTAAAGGCTTACCTTAACCTTCAATCTTCATAATTATCACTTTTTTTTAAACTTTTTCTTTTTATCTCCTGCATTTTTCCATCAATTTGCACACAGACATATTGCATTACTTGTTATACCCACCTTTTCATACACAGCTTTTTTCAAATGAAACTGTTAATAAGTTAAGTGACTATCAACTTCTGATGGCAATAAAACATTTAATTAAAAACAAAAACACTTTATAAGCAGTAAAGCATTAATGCTTTACAATTCATGGAATGATTTGTCGAGAATATTTCTTATGAAAATGCATACATGATATTGAAATAAAGTAGCTTTCATAATGCTTCAAGTTGAAAATAACAAAAGATGTTGCATCAGAAGTGGTCAATGAAAAGTACGATTTAACTTATAGCATTCGATTTCTCTCGTTGCCCATAACTATGCATTTGCTTTACATCTTTTATTCCCCAAATTATGCATTACATTTAGCACTTGAAAGCTGGCAATTTAAACTACATTCAGTATTCTATCCAGTTTATATTATCAGAATCGCCCATTGCTTGGTGCGTTTTTAAGAATTGCATACTCTGTATCCATGTACACATCGACCTATTTTCACTTAAAAAAAATCCCAGAATTGCACAAAAATGGCATTGTGCACACCCTTGACTTTATCCATGTACACATTGACCTATTTTCACTTAAGAAGTCAAAGAAAATTGACAAAAATCAAATTCTTCTTACTCTTGTAAAAAGTGCCAAACAAATAAGTGGATGATTCTGCACTTTAGCCATTATTTATTACAATTAATCTTGCAGTACTCAGATGTCATATCTTTTATAACTTATTTACTATTAAAACTAAGACCACATTTGAATAATTTAGAAACTTTTGAATAGAACATATTTTAAATAAAATTTAATCTTTTACACAATAAATTTCCCTCCCCCTCCAACGGCGAGCACTACGCAAATTGATGTTGGTCAATACTGAGGCCAGAAGTGGTGGTTTCTTTATTATGGAGACACCCAATAGGTAGGGCACCACCATTATGCAATAAGTTGAAGGTAACAGAAGATGTTACATCAGAAGTGACTGTCAGTACGGACAAATTACATCTATGCCTTCTCCAGTGCAGCAATCCGAGTCACTAACCACTTTCCCATCTGGATGGCACACAATAAAAAATATGATCTTGCACTTCATATGACAACTCAAAACTAGAGTTAACTAAATTGATTGCCTTTTCTAAGCCAAATATACTTGAGTTTGCTGCTGGTTTTAGAATCTTTCAGACTCGTGTAATATACAAAAAAGTAACTTTTTATGAAGCTACCGAATTTATACGAATACAGATGACATTATGATTAGCTCACAATGCTGGCAATTATGTCAATATACTATCTATAAATATAAAGCAAATCTGTATATGACAGAACAACATCTGCCCATGAAATAAAAACACTTGCATGATGAAGAAATGTCATTTTAGAAATTAGTGAAAAACTTAATATGTTTAATAAAAATATATTATTTGGTTAACTTTACATGTTTGCCCACAACATCCACAATTCTCATTTGGCAGATAACAGTGGGTGTGCTCTGCTAATATCCAATAAATCCAATCCAAACCTCTCAGAAAGTGTTAACATTTGATTTTGTTTCAAAAACGTTTTATAAAAGAAGTTTAGTGAAAGATTCAATACTGAATATACTAAACATTTTTATAATGTTACCACAGTTTCGAGGTGAGGGAGGGAGGGTTGGATTGTTAAAAATTAAAAATCAGATCACACTTGTGTACTCAAGTGGAAATGCCGAGAAACATTTCAAAATTACACGAGATTCAAATCTGAATGTTTTAAATTATAGCAATATATTTCTACACTCATTAAATGATTCTTTCAATATCAAAAATACATCCATCCAATTTTGATTTCCTTAAAAATTTCGAATAAATTGACCCCATCGGAATTTGTATGATTAGCACGCGATATGGAACCTAATCGGCCAATGCACTTGAAATTAAGTAGACCTCCTGCACCTTTTTTTTTGGGGGGGGGGCATATTATTACAGTATGTTTGAATTATCGGAAAAAACATAAGCCCTAGATGTAATATTTAATACTATCGATTTATTTAACAAAAAAAGAAACGCAGCGGAATGTGAATGACAGCGTTACACACACGTGTCAACTGCCTTAATTTTACGTAATTTAATTTAATTTAATTAAATGCCTATGAATCATCCCGCATAACTTAATGGCTGTAGAAGTGTTTATTAATAAGATATATTTCACGTTGCTCATATTACATCAAACATTAACGCACATAATAGCTTATCAATTACACTATTCCGAAAGCAAATAAATCGAGTCTAAAAAAAGTCACTATGACTCATGCACTGCATTTAGATGAAGATGTGAAAAAAATTACACATAGCTCAGTATTTTATAAAATTTTAAACACACTGCGCCCTAATAATTACTATTATTATAGCTCTTTTGATCTTCAGAGAAATACATTATTAGAAGGAAGGAAATAACTATAAAACACATCTAGAGCTCAGGAATACTCATTTTACATAAGCTAACATAAGTTTCGTAAAGTAAAATAGTTTCGATTATTTTTAACGATAAGGAAATCGCGTGATAACTCATCGCAAGGGTTAAAAAATGTGAATGGCGCTCACCATCATATCGTTCGGCCTGTTCTGCCAGTTTAGCTTTATACACGTTATCTTCTCTGTCAGCCATTTGAAATCCTTTAGCAAACTATAATTCAGTACTAAAATTTCAAGAACACGAATGCGACAGGAAGAAACAATCCAATTTAAAGCAAGAGCCACCAGTCAATACAATTACAAGACTCCGCCCTACCCACGCTACAATACTTTAACGCTAGTTCCCGCCGCAAAGATGGCCGAATCTGTAAAACTAGAACCGGCTTACTCCGGGAATGAAAGTAGTGCGCACAGAATACATTTATTGTAATAATGCGCATAACGGTAGAAAAGGAAATAATGGTGAGATTGCCATTTATTACGAAATCAAAAACAGAAAAAATTCTCAATCTAAACATTTTTTTTAAGTTAACGAATTAAGTTAACTTTTTGGATAATTTTAACTGTATATTGAATATTGAATTCAGAAATAAAATACACATTTAATTTATATCAGTTGTTTAGAAAATAAACCTATGTCAACTGTTAAGTAAGTGACAATGCGCTGCTGATGTGGACAATTTACAAACAAAAAAATAAATAAATATTTGTGTAACTAAAAATTTTTAATTTGCTATAATGTTGTTTGAATAATAATAAAGAGAAATTCATTAAATTTCATATTTGTAAAACGAAAGCATGAATATCTAATCATGAAATTTCTTGAACAGTTTTACATTCACACAGCGTAAAGCTATCATACGTTTTCTTAAACCTGCTCTTATTGGTACAAAATTGTGAGATTGAAAACATCGAAGCCACAGAAATGTGCACTTTGGAGTCAAGTAAGCAATAAATAGTAATCAAAGTAACCCATACATTGGGCTTACCATTTTTCGCTTTTGTAGGCAGGTTAAGGATTTTGGTTGATGAATTTAATGTAGGGGTTCCCAACCTCTTTGTTATTCTAGAATATCTGTTGTACGGCGGCACCATTTACTTTTTCAAACTTGGATAGAGTTAATACATGCACATAAAAAAAAGAAAAGAAAAAAGAAATCGGTCGCGTTTCGCTTTGTGCTGATATCTGTTTTGGACGCAATAAAAATAAGACTTCATTAAAAATAAGAAAACTTTCACATAGGTTTTTATTGAAAGCTAAAACATTTTTATTGTGATCACACAGCGGCAGGCACACGTTAAACGATCGGCGGGCGGCATAGTGCCCGCGGGCATAAGGTTTGGAACCCCCAAGGAGGTTAGATTAGCCTCCTTTATTCTAACCTCCTTGAGAACCCCTGATCTAGCGTCTTTCTACGGACCTTGCTGATCTAGGGCATTGAGTGAAGTGAAGTGATGAACAGTTTGCCAGATTTTATTCTTTGCGCCAAACATCGCCAAAAGTTTGGGTGATAGAAATTTCATTTAGTAGAGCTTTTTGTGTGTGTCTTTACATTATTATATTATTCACAATATTATACTTTTTAGACGTAATGTAATGAAAATAATTAATGTAAAATATTTGTATATTTCATTCGGTCCATTTTAATGATTTTTGTTTTCTTTTCGAAACTGCAGCCAATATAGCGATAAAGGGCTTTCATAGTATCCAGCTACATGTTTACAATTCGAAATTAATTTTTGTTTGAGTGATGAGCGGTATGTAGTAAAACGTGCGAAAGAAGAATTGTGTAGCGTATTTCATTTCAATAACATATAGATTGGAATTCCAGTAGTTGACGATATGAATAAAAAAGAGAAGTCAGATTCGGTGTCGCGCGAAAAGAAAGTAAAGCGTGTTAAAACACATCATTCAAGACCGAATGTTCTATCCTTAGCCCCTGTAAGTAGACATTTATGAATATATATATATATTTGTTTATTTTCTTCTGTTATATTTTACAAAGTATACCATTTGCATTAAATTAATGTATCTAATGTGATATAATATTTCATTGCCAATTAGCCTTTGTATTTTTTGCAAATGTTTCATCCAACTCTTCATATTGAAAATTTCGGCTAAAGTGCAGAATCGCCCACTTATTTGTTCCGCGCTTTTTACACGAGTAAGAGGAATTGGATTTTTGTCAATTTTCTTTGACTTGAAAATTGAATGAAAATAGGTCGATGTGTACATGGATAAAGTCATGGGAGTGCTCAATGCCATTTTTGTGCAATTCTGGGTTGTTTTCTTGGGGGGAAAGTGCAGAATCGCCCACTGCTTGGCGCGTTTTTAAGAATTGCACATACTCGGTATCCATGTACACATTGACCTATTTTCGCTTTAAAAGTAAAAGAAAATTGACAAAAATCCAATTCTTCTTACTCTTGTAAAAAGCACCAAACAAATAATTGGGCGATTCTGCACTTTAGCTGAAATATAAATTCTTAACATTTACATTAAAAAAGTGCAGCATTTAGTGGTATGAAATCATATATAAACAAACTGCAACCAAATTCTTGAAAGTTCTGATAACTTCTTCAGGAAAATTATGAACTCTAATTATGCTGCTATTGCTCCGTTAGTTTTGACTATGATCTACTATTGAAAATTCACAATTCGCACAATTCATCACAATGCTGCATATTAATCTGTATTGTGATTGCACCTGTATATATTGTGTATATTTATTATATAAATTGTATTACACTTCATGTGTATTTTTATTCCATTGCCCCTTTGCTGTGTGCATCAAAGACTTCAAGAAATTTTGCATCTCTCCATTTCATGTTTCCTACAACTACTAGCTGATTCATTTTAATTAAATTTCCTATCTGCCTGTCAGAAAACTTTTATTACTAAAAATTATATTCATGAAATTTTTACTGGTAAAAAGACTGCTTTGTTGAACTTTATGTCTGCATAAAAACAGACCTAAGTGATATTTACCATTCAAATCCGTATCAATAGTTTTGTGATGATATTTGAAATTTGAGTGCTTTGGTACTGCTACCGAAGCATCTTTTCCCAATGTTTGTCCACGTCGACCTATTTTCACTTAAAAAAAACATCCCAGAATTGCATAAATCTACCACTACCCAATGAATAGCAGCTCTTATTCATTGCATAGTGGTAGATTTTCTTTCTCACTGATGTGACACGTCCCTCATGTTAACACACAAACCAGAAAATCTAAGAAATAATTACAAATTTGCAAAAATCAATAGAAGTTACTGCAAAATTACAAATAATAATAGAATAAGCTAATAGAATAGAAGAATAGAATAGAAGCTACTGCAAAGGTTTTTCAATTGAACTGATGACTGACAACAGCCGACTGTATGACTGGATGGATGATTCATTGTTTATGCAGATGGGAAGTGGTGCCAGCAGGAAACGGGGCTTTTATTAAAGCAGGCATCTAATCCTAATCTGTCTCGCAGAAACGGCTCAGAGCAAAGGCTATAACGCACGAGTGGGTAGACACAAATGCAGTACCCCTGAAGGGGCATGTAATTGCACCTTTTCATGGTTGCTTTTTACGTCAGGATTAGAGTAAATTTTTGTCTCGTGTTGATGTTGTGACTGGTGTCTGCTTAAAGAAGGATAGTAGGTGACCATGAGCCATTGTTTGGACATTACTAGTGTGGTGATGCAGCCTAACATAGTAGGCTTTGAATGTTTTTATGATTTCTTGATCCTTGAAAGTGGTGTTTAGTGGAAGGAATAAAACCTCAGCATCTGTATGGTGATGTTTTCATCACTATTTGGTCTCCGTCAGAAAGGCCTAAGAATCACAAAAACTTCAGGTAACAGTTAAAACCAACATTATTTAACATTTGAAAAGAAAATCAAATCTTGCAAGAGGTTAACTATTTAATCCTCCACCTACGGAACCCTCAATTTCCATCGGATACGAAATCCATCTCGTAATACGGGTCATGTGAAACTAGCATGCATAAGTATGTTTTTTAAAATTAATAAAAAAACTATTAAAATTTCAGTATTATACTAATTTTGTTTATAAAGATGCAAATAGTAATGTTTGAAGATAGAGAATATAAAAATAAGCCCCATATTTCAGAACCAGAACATGTCCAAATTGTGGCATATGCGGCACGATTCGGACGCGTTCATTAGCATACGTGAGCCAATGCCATATCATAATGTGAGCACAAGTCCAGGCAACGCAATCCTTCAACACAGAAGGCCAAACAAAATGTGAAAGAATCAGGCTTTTGGTTGGTTATATTTATTCTTGGATGAGAAAGTCCATGTAGTGAATCAAATGCTGCTCTCCAGAGCTGGCTGGGAACAAAGTAAAGTATCCTGTCACCACTTATGTGACAGTGTATGTTTAGCCCAGGAGATAATTCCATCTTTTGTTGTTTTAATGCTACTTTCAGTGGATAACAGATGATTCAGTTCACAATCATTATGTTGAAATTGAGCAATCTGTGCAAAACTTGTTATCCAGCTTACTGATAACAATAATTCATGTTGATATAACTGTTGCAATATTTTCTGGTCTAGAAGCATATTGTATGTCAGTACTGAATTGGGCAATTTAGTTCATATGCCTAAGCTGCCTGGGTGATGCAGAATCTAATCTTTTCTTGAAAAAATATTTGATGGCGATGATCTGTATATATTGTCAAAACTTGTCCTCAAGATTATGTTGAAAATGTCGCTATCTTCTGTGCTCAGTAATTCTCTATCTTATATGCTATACTTAGTTTTGGAGTCAATTTTCAGGAGAAAAAAGCCAGTGATTGAAGGCCATTATCACATCATTAAGTGCTAAACAGCTCCCGCAGTTACATCTGAGGCATCAATCATCAATGACAACTATTCATGTAGGACATGATAGCTAACTGTCACTGAATTTGTTAAATCAGTTTTACATTTTTTTTAAGGCCGCAATCATTTCTGCTGTCCAAGGAACAGGACATTTATCATCCTTCTTAGAATCTTTTTAAAGAGAATGAAGCAGAGCTTGGGTAATAGCTGCCTTAGGCAAAAGTCATGACAAAAATTCAACATTGCTGAAAATCTTTTTGAATTCAGACATTATTGCAGGTTTTGGGAAGTTAGAAGTTAGCAATTTTGTCAAGAAGAGACTAAACACCTGAAGGGGTGATTAAACAGCCAAGAAATGATACTGATGTCTTTCCCAGAATAAGTTTAGAAGGATTCAGTTTGAACACGTATTTTAAGAATCTGTCAAAAATTAAACAGAGTTGGCTGTTGTGTTCGTCTTCTTTTGTTGAAACCACAAGCAAATCATCAGTGTAAGTAAGAAAAAAGTCTAAGCCAGAAAATATCTGATGAATAAATTTCTGGAACATTTAGCCTGCATTTTGCAAACCAAACTAAGTATTAAGGAACTCGACATAATCTAAATAGGGTAGTCACAGCTGTTTTAGACAGTCCTGTGAGTTAACCCCTTCGCGATGGCATGTTCCTGAACTAAAAATTCTGCCAGATGGGTGTGTCATACATGCATCAGTCCCTTATGTCGCTAGCAGCCATGATCACTGCTTGCATTGATCTTCCAGATGGATATGGCATATATGCACTCTCAAGCATACACGTTCTTTTAGAAATTTTTTAAATCGCTAGATGGCACTCCGTGTCAACTACAGTTACCTTATTTGAACATGTACATTGTTGACCTTGTGTCTGTAAAGTACTTTCGGATTGTGGTGATTCGTTTAGATGTAGGAGCAGAAGATGTAAAGCAGGGCTTTGGAGTTGGAGTCGGGCAGAATTTGGGGTAATAGGAGTCGGAGCTGGAGTCGCTAAAAACAGTCTGACTCCATAGACAGTTTGAATTTGAAATGAAATTAAAATGAATTGAATAAAATTAATGACAAGCTGAGTTATTATTTTTATTTACAGACTGTATACATTAATAAATAGTTATTTTCTATTTTATTAACCTATTTATAAATAATATAAGGGAGGAGGATGGATGTGATATTTGCTATTAGTGATTAAACTGATTCATTTAGTTACAAATCTCACTGGTAAATTCAGGTAAGCAGCAATAGCATCAAGAACTCCCAAAATTGATGCCATTCTTAGGAAGCGAGCAGGAAAAGGAACAATTATTGATCAAGCAGTGCGATAAGGAAGTACATATTTGATGATAAAGAGGTTTTCTTTAGAATTAAGAACTTTTTCAGAAGATGTAGATAACGCTAATGTTTGACTAACAGAAAGACCGTGGAATGATCTTGCAGAATTGGAAACTCTTCTTTCTGTACCGTATATAGCCACAAAAAAGCTGCAGTCAAAAGAATTGACAGGAGGCGAGAATGGGATGTTTGTTCTTTCTGAAATGGAGGGTTTATTGCAGAAGAAATCATTTCTTAAATGAAGAAAAGAGAAACTAGTTTGCTAGACAATGAGATCTAGCTGGGTTCAACATATGGAGATCCGAAACACCGAATTTTCTTGGATGACGAACAAATTAAAAAGGCAAAGAAAGTCATCTATGAACTTTCATTAACCCTTTAACTGTCAAGTTATTTTGATGATTTGGGTACACAAATTGTCAAAACTCAAATGTTTAGTACAAAATAAAATAAAAAACTTAATTCGAATGATCTATAATCCGGACATCAAAAACTAAAAACTTTCTGCGCATGCGCAACGTTGACACATGCGCAGAGGCGTTCACGCCTGCGCGTAAGACCTTTTACGACTGCGCATATGAGTGTGCGCAAGTGCAGAATACGTTTTCGCGTGCGCATTTTATGTATAATGGACGTAAGCTAAAATTATCTAATTATCTATTTCAGTTAATGTTGATGATTGCGTTGTTCCTTAATTTTCGAATTGCATCCGGCTTATTATTTTTTGCAGACTGTAAGAGCAATTTTATAAAAGTAAGCTTA